ATGTATGGAATACAAGATTTTGTGAAGAAAGTCAATGCGTTGAAATTTCAAATTTCTCAGGTAAGAATAAGTAGACAGTTTTATCAAGCACCTTTACTATTTTATGATGACAAAATTAATCCGAAGAGCTTTGACGATTACACAATCAAATTTAAACCAAAAGGATTCTGATTTTTTTCTTATTCTAATGAAACTTTAGCCGTTTTTAAGGTCAGTTTTTCAGAGGTTCTTTTTTTCTATTTCAGACTAGCATCTCAGTCAGTATTTGGTTTTATTTATCAGATTTTTGTTGCTTAAGCTAAGCATATAAAATATGTACTATTTACTACATTCGAGTAATTACTTCAAAACATATGATGATTTCCGTATAGTTCAATTGATTTTCAATGAAAATATCCATCACCATCATTATAATCCTGAGTTTCTCATACAAAATAATTTGGTTTTGTCTATAATTTTGAAGTAATCTAATTAAACATTTTTGTTCATAGAAAATGCGAAAAACTGCATGGAAAAAGAAATAGATGAAAGATCAAAGATGACCAAGGTAATTTTTCATCTCAACTCTTAGTTCAAGTTTTGCATTTTGAATCACTTAATGATGACGTTAATGTATAGTTCAATTGATATTCAATGAAACCAACTCAACTTTCTGAAATTCACTTGATTTCAAATGTAATTTTGTTTGAAGTCACAATTGTCTAAAATGTGTTTTTTGTTATTTCCAGGTTTCACTGACCAAAAACTAATTTTATCTCTCTTTCTGTGACTTCGATGACACATTTTATTGGGTGCACTCTCAAGTAAAAAGGTAATGATCGATGAATAATTAATAAAGATTTAAATTAAGTGATGACCATTATCAAGCTCCCTCAACTGAGTAGAACCCATTAAAAACCATGCGGTTGCCCTGCAACGTCTGACTTATATCAATTCAAACATTCGAATACCGTTTGTTATTCACGTCCACATATCAATTCAAGTTTTTTTTTCATTCATTTCAGATGGAACCAACTGAAAATGACGTGGCACAATGGTTAGTATATATTGATGTCTAGCCAAATATTTTTTAGCTGTTCAGAATATTTTTGATGAATTAGCGCCCTGATCCCATTTTTATCAAAAAATTCGATTGTTTCCCTCATTTTATGGCCATTTAAATTGAAATTCTATTTGTTATATTTCAGAGCGCTCAATGGTCTATTGATGCCCTTCATCCAGAATCAGAATAATGATGATTCAAGGTAATTACTAACTTATCAACTTCAAAGCATATTCAAAAAATAGTCTCAATGATGATTTAAATATTACAGACCTGTTCATAAATTTTTGATGAAAATAATATCCTGAAACGATTAATTCAAATAATTGTTCCAACTGATAGAATGAACATTGTACTGAAATAAATTTATTTCATTATACTTTCAGAAGCACCACTCTACGTGATTCATATTCGGCCAAATGTTTTGAACACAACAAGGT